CCTGCTCCCATCTATTAATACCAAGGGGAGGAGCTGACCCAGGAAAACCTCTTGCAACTCTGCCTCTATCCTGCATTGCTCAAGATGTTTCTCAGCTGCTGTTAAGATAGCAGTTTTGTTTTGTGAGTTTCCTCCAGCTGCCACAGCAGGTTCGCACAGACCTACTGGCTTCAACAGCACACAGTGGCTCTCTCACAACTCTGGAGCTGAGATGTGTGACCCCAGTCTCTCTGGGCTGAAGTCAAGGTGTATGCAGGCCTGGTTCCTTCTAGATCATGTAGTGAAGCAGAGCAGGGCCGAGGGTATGGAGCTTGAGTTCACAGTCACTGGGGCTCAGCAGCGATCTCATCCTCCCCGTGCCCACCCCAAGTGTACCTGTCCTCAGCTGCACTCCACATGGGCAGGTAGTGAGGTGGCGTGGGAAGCCACCAGGCTTTGTGGAGACCAGACAGGGCTGAGAATTTCCCGGCAGAGGATCTCTGGGCTTATGGGTCCTCAGAGTCTAAACTATCACAAATGAAATTTTCATGGGCACCTCATTCATCAGAGAAGCACACCAGTCCCTGTGCCCTCCTGAATTGGCCTGAGGACCTGAGGCCGCTTGTCCCCACTGCTGCTGCTGAGTCAGTTAGCAGAGGGGGTGTTATCACTGTCAAGCTCAAGGCCACACACACACACACACACACCGGCTGACCAGTCATGGCAAAACTAAGGTTCCACCCAGGGGCCCCTCTGGCTATGGCCACCATAGCGCCCTCCTCCTTCTTGGGAACACAGTGTGGACATCACTGGGGAGGGACCAGTGCTGGGAGCCAATCTGGTGTGAATGAAGGGTGTTGGTGTGTGTGGTCCAGGCTGGGCTGTCCCTGAGTCCTGTCATGGGTGTGACCTGCCTGAGACCTCAGGTACTGCGCTGGTGACATTGCTACCCTCAGCTGAGCAGCAAACAAGTCATTTCTGCAAGCAGCTTTTATGAGGACGAAATAGAAGTTTAGAAGAAATCAGTCACTCTGTCCCTTCTTAGGGAGGCAGGGGCTGTGTTCCCCACAGCCTGCTGTGGTTCTGGGAAGCTCAAATGTGCCCTGCCAGCACCCACCTGGATTCAGATCCCACTGGGATGGTTGCCACATGGCTGTGTACATCTGTGTCCCCATCTGACAAGGTCAGTGCTGCCCTTGCTGTGTGTGAGTCTGCTTGGGCCACTGTGCAGAAAGGACTTGAACAACCAACAGCCATGTCCCAGGGCTAGAAGTCCCAGATCCAGCTGTCACAGGGCTGGATCCTCCTGAGGCCTTTCGCCTTGGCTTGCAGATGGCATCTCCACCTTGTGTCCTTGCTTGTTCATCTCTGTGTGTATCTGTCCCCATCCCCTCCTGTGAGGATCTCTACCATGTCTGAGTAGGGCCTACCCTAGTGGCCTCATTTTACATTAATTACCCCATCTCTAAGTATGCTCCAGCCTGAGGTGGTGGCATCACAACTTCAGCACCTGAGTTTGGAGCTCACAGTCAGTCTCCCCTCTCAGATCACCTGGTTGTAGGATGGCACCCGCCAGGGTGAGGAGCCCTGTACACTCAGCCAGGGTGGGGCTTAGGCCAGGAACCAGTTCCACACACAGTTCCACTGCCTGTCCACCCATCATATGTCAGGGGAGGACAGTTCCTGCCAGAGGAGTGGCACCCTGTGAGTGTGGGTGTGGGGTGGTCAGTGACCGAGGACGCAGGCCTATTGCCTGGCTTAGTTCCAAAACCAGCCTGAGAGCTTTTGATTCCTGTCTATGGCTGGCTTAGAGTGGTGCTGCACATGGTCTGAGCCAGGCTGCCTGGCAGGACTGTCCTTTGAGGCCCTCCTGGGAAGAGTGCTGGGCCCTGCCTGGCCCAGGGTCCCTGAGGAGTGAGCCCACCCTCCTGCCCAGAGCTCACACTCTGACTCTGCATGGCCCTTGTTAGGCATCCAAATGTCGGGCTCACACTAGGCAGGGCTCTGAGTCACATTCTTGTTTCCTGGAGCCCCATCCCCTCGGGGGTGTCTAGGCTCCATGATGTCATGTCTGTGTCACAGGCTCCAGACCGAGAGCAAAGGCTGGTGCTTTGGTGACATGGGACTGAGGGCAGGGATGGGACCAGTTTTCCCTGGGGCACCCCTTTGTCCCAAAGGTGCCTGGGCACTTGTGTAGGAACAGTGGCCAATCTTCCACCAGCTGCAGAAGTACTTGTCATTTCCAGCAAGCTGACAGCATTTGCTGGGTGCTTGTGGCCTACCAGTCTGAGGTCGGTGGCCCTACCTCCCCATTTCTCAGGGGACAATATAAGGCCTGGGGAGAGGCTATAAGCCTGTTTTGGGGACTTCCATGGAGTTTTGAAGTGGTCCTGGGCACCCTGTCTTAAAATGGGGAAACTGAGGCACTGGTCCCTGTGTAAGCTGGTAGTGGGTAAGGGCTGGGAGTGTGACTTTGTGGCTCCAAGTCCAATACTCTGTACTGACATGCTACCTGCCTGGGAAGTGCAGGCATCCCGTATGGCCAGCCCCTCTCTTGAGGGCGGGCATCAGCGCTGGACTTTTGCCCGAAGCTTCCATGACCTGGTGGTACCCATGCATCCCGTCCTCTCTGTCCCCAGCTGTGTCACCAGCACCTACTAAAGTACAGGGCTGTGAGGAGTGCTGGGCACTGGTGGCCACGAACAATCAGCTGCTCACGGATTCCAAGAGTCTGTTTGCCAGAATTCAGGCCCCAGGAGACGCTTCACACAAAAGCCCAAAATCCTAATATGCTAGAACTCAATCTTGATGACTGTCAATGCTCGGCTGATTCAATCAGCAAGTAATTATGGAGCCCTGACACCTGGCAGGCTGTGGAGGTGCCCAGGGGAGGCATGGCAAGGAACAAAGCCCATCAGGGCCCTGGCCAACTCAGCTCAGAGAAGCCCCAGCCCAGGGTCCATGCATGGGCTGGGGGTTCTCGTATACCTACAGTCAAGGCACAGCTAGGCTGTCTGTGCTTGGCTGATCTTGCATGCTGATGCCTGTGTGTGTTGTGCATGTCAGAAAACACAAGGGTGGAAATGCAGAGGTTTAGCTAAAAAGAATGTAAAGAGATATCTGACGTTTTGTCCCTCTTTCTCGGGGGATTGTCTGGAGTCTTCCATTTGGGGGCTGATGTTTTTGGTCTTGGACACATTAGTATTTTGACAGGGGCACTTGGTGGCTGTCCCTCTGCTGCCCTGAGAGGCCTCAGGCCCTTTCTCTGCTCTGCATGTGGTCCTGGCTGCCACCCCAGGGCAGTGGGTGAAGGAGGGACAGTTGGTGCCCTGTGGAGGACCACGGGATCAAGGTTTCAAAACAGAGGTGGGCTTCATGCATGGCATCCTGTGGTCACAAAGGAGGGAGCAGTGTGTGATGTGGGGTGGTCAGGGAGTGTGCAGGACAGCCAGGACCCTGGGGCCTCTCCACCCAGTCTGGGTGTCATGGCAGAAGCGTAAGGCAGAGAAGAGGGAAGGACATCGGTGGCAGGGAGGGGGAGGGGGCCTAGAGTCTCCCAGCGCTGCCGGCCGGCCGTAATGGTTGGGGAGGAGCTTCTGTCTCCCTGTTTCCTTGGCACTGAGCATCATGGCAGGTGTGCTACATACTGTGACGGGTATTTCTAACCCCAGTCACAGGAGGGGTAAGTTAAGAGTCAAAACTCGCCGTAATTATCAAGAGCCAGGCAGAAGCAGGCATCAGCCAGCCTGTTCCTCCAGCCCCACTCCAATACTGCCTTCCACCCCAGGGACGGGGAGTCCCAGTCGTAGACACCGGCTCCCAGTGGATGGATCAGGGATGCATGGCTTCCTCTGTTTCTGCTGCTGTGACAGAACACCAGAAACTGGCAGACAGGGAGGTGGATCCTGAGGGCTGCAGGGATGGCCTCTGTGCTGCCTCATCTCGTGGAGAAAGAGCATGAAGGAAGAGCAGAGACCGACCTGTCTCCTTTATCAGGAGCCAGTTCACCATGCCCATGATAAGGGCACCAAGGTATTCATGAGGACCATGCCCCCATCACCTCTCAACACTCCTATGGCACCATCACATTTCAACATGAGGTTTAGGGGGGACATTCAGACCGGCACCTTCCATGCCTGATGTGGCCATGAGGCAGGAACAGCCTGGGATTGGTGACAGTGACAAAAACCTGCTAGCTTTGGGCTGTGCCTCAGCAGTCTGTCTTGACTTATATGGAGATTGATCAGCCAGGGTAAACTGAGACAGGACTAAGAAGGCTGGCAGAGTTGTCCATCAGCACCAAGCAGAGCGAGAGAGAGTGAACTTGCACAAGAACTGTTGGGCTGGGGATTTAGCTCAGTGGTTCCGCCGCCTGCCTCGCAACCACGAAGACCCGAGTTCGATCACCGGTACCAAAAAACTGTCCACCTTGGGCAGAGGCCTGGGCTGGGGGAGCAGACACCAGGCGGGGTGGAGCTGTGCCATTGCAATGGGGACCAGAGCTGCAGTATCACCCAGGCACTTCAGGCTGCTGGGTCCCCTACTGTCACGAGGGTGGCAGCTGTGCCTCAAGTCCTCAGTGTGTGGAGGCTTTTGCAGTCTCTAGGATGGAGCACCCAAGGCGCAGTGGTAGGGTTGGGTCACAGAGCCTCAGTGGGCCCTGTTCCCTCCCCACCCCAGAGCAGCTGGCAAGGGACGTGGACGTGGGCACTGTGTCCCTCAACTTCAAACTTGAGTCAGCACTGGAGGGGCACTGGGGGCATTTGTCATGTCTTAGTCCCAGTAACTTATATTTTCTTCCTACCGAATGCCAGGGTCTACACCTGCACCCCGCCACACAGGTAGCCCTCTTGTGGAGCCAGGTGAAGAGGGTATAACATACTACTTCCTGTTGTTTTTTGTTTGGTTTGGCTTGTTTTTATTTGGGGTGTTTGTTTGTTTTGCTACTTAAACCTGGGGTCTTTTGCACTGAGCTACATCCCCACCCATTTGTTGTTTGTGACAGGATCTTACTAAGTTGCCCAGGCTTACTGTCTGCTATCCTCCTGCCTCAGCCTCCCAGACAGCTGGGATTACAGGCCTAGGCCAATATACCCAACCACGACATATTTCTTTAAGAACTTTATTGAGGTGTTACCAATGCACGATGAACTGAACATCTTTAAGTTGTACAGTGTTATAGGTGTTGACATTTGTAGCCCGAGGTCAAGGTGATGGATGCACCCGAAGTGGCTCCGCCCACTGCCCACGCTGCCTCCCACCCCCACCCCACTGCCACCATCACTCGGCTGCTGTTACTTCAGGGCAGGCAGCATGTTCTAGACATTCACATGAACAGAATCACACAATATATACCCTTCAAGAGTCGCCATCGCCATTTTGGGCATTGCAGGTACCAACAACCTGTCCTTGGCGGTGCTGGGTGACCGTCCACAGACGGCTGTGCGACTGCTTCCATGCTGGGGCACTGAGACACTGAGAGCTCGGTGTTCTCCCGGCACAGATGGAGCGCTGTAAAGGGGGATGGCAGGTCATGGGTCCTGCGGCCCCTGGTGCTAGCTCTGTGCCACCCTAGATGCCCTCCTTGGGCAACTGGTGGCCTGCTGTACTTCTGACTCAGGTGTCCCCTGTGGCTCCCCATGCTGGGCCTCCTTCCTCTCCTTGGCATCCTGACAGCTTCTCTGGTAAAGCTGAAGATGGAGAGAGGGGTTTCTGTCTTTGTCCACCTTCCTCTGTCCTCCCTCTGTCTTAGCTCAGACTGCTGTGACAAAACTGCCCCTGCTTGGGACCTAAAACCAGCAGACAAGCATTGCTTACAGCTTTGGAGCAGGAAGTCCACGGTCCTATGCCAGTCTGACCAGTCCTGTCGAGGACCCTCTTCTGGGATGCAGACTGCAGACTTCTCTTCATGTCCTCACATGGCAAAGGGAAAAGGCAGCTCTCTGGGATCCCTTTTACAAAGGCATTAGGGCCGTCAGTGTCAATATACAAGTTTGGGGGGACATAGCATTCAGTCCATAGCACCGTACCCCTCTCCCCACTCCTCAAGCTGTGGCATCTGGTCCAACCTCAGCCCTTGTTGTCCGTGCAGCTGCCGCTCAGCTCCCTCCCCTCTTGACCCAGACTGAAGGCTGTTGCTCACCCTGCCGGGTCCTGGAGCCACTGGGGCACAATCAGTGATAGCTGGAGGAGGCACGTGGTGGGTTACAAGGTGAGGGGACAGAGACCTTCTCCAAAGAGAAAGTGGAATTTGGATTTTCATACTGGAAGAAAGATATCTATTCAAAATATCACTTCCCTGTCCAAGTATGACAAATGCTTCCCTGTGTCCTTTCTCCGAGGGGAAAGAGCTAGCTGGTTCATGACAGGCTGGGCGCTTACACCAAGATCTCTGCTCCTCTGTTCTAGGGCTGTGGGTGGTGGCAGGTCACAGGAGCTTGAGGTGAATGCCAGGGGGGGATCATTTACTTCATGCTCAAGTCACTGTCCTTAGCCTGGGCTGGGAGGGCTCAAGGAAGCCAACTTGCAACAGACAGAAGGTGCTAGGCAGCTGTCACCAAACATGGGCACAGAGACTGACCCCAGCCTGCACCCCAGAGCAGAACATTCCAGGGAGGGAAAAGGGAGAGGGGCCAAGGTGGGGAGGACCTGGGGAGGCCCCAGAGAGTCGCTCCCTAGGACCTGCCTCCAGGTCACACGGCTGTGCTTGAAGTCTCCTGGATTGTTCTGGAAGGAGATCCAAATCCTGTCCACTCCAGTTCCGGCAGCCCTGGGACCCATGAGCCCTGGAATTCCCTGCTATGCCATGCCTGGAACCAGGGTAAGGTACCATGCTGTCTTATCCCGGGAGCATGCAGGCCTGCTGCCCAGCCATGTCACTCAGGAGCCACAGCGACCCCTCCCTTAGCCCTGAGTGCCACCTCCAAAGGTTGTATCACATGCACGAGGTCTCTCTGGGGCAGGCCTGGGGTCCGGGACCACTCTGTGTCCTGGCGCAGATGTGGGATTGACACAGCAGGGCATGTCAGCTTGAGGTTCCCTTTCCTCCTTGCTGTCCCTGGAATGTGAACAGAAGGAACAGAGTGGCACTGCAGGCCTGAAGGTGGAGAGGGGCAGGTAGGCAGCCTTGAATGTCTGCAGAGAACATGGGCCTCTCTGGGACCAGGGCCCTGAGTCTGCTGGTCATGCACTGGGCTCTACTGGGAGCAGGCTGGTTTGCTGGGCCTTGTTGCCTTCACATTCCGGACTCCACCCCCGCCGACCATGCCGAGCCCACCTGGTCCACTGTATTCCCTGGTTCCTCACGGTTTCACAGAGAACAGCACTGTGCCCACGAGGAAGAGGGAGGATATAGCTGCTGGCAGCAGTCCAATGCCCACAGAGAGGAGGAGGGCATGGCAGATCCATCCCCCAGAGCAGGGACAATGACTCTTCCATTCCAGTGGTGAGCTGGCTGTGGGGAAAGCCAAGCACTTTCCCCCTGGAATTATACCAAGAGTAAAACATCCCCTGCTTCCCATAGCTCCAAGATTGAGCACTTCCAAGAGTCCACTAAAGAAGTTCTCAGCATTGTTTCCACTGTTTTTGCAGTGATTAAACAGAGGGGCTCCCTGCAAGGAGCTGGGGGCTCAGCTCTGTGTTTGCTTTTACCACTCAGCCTTGACTGAGTCCATCCATCAGCGCTATCCAGGGCCCTCCAGAGAAGAAGCTGGATTCATCCTGCTCTGGGGCAGCTCTGCCCCTTGGAGGGTCTTCTCCAGGCTCCTACTATGCTCTGACTCTGGAGGGTAGCTGTCACGCTTGCCTGTGCACCTGATTTCTAGCTTCCTCTGTTGAGAGGTTTTCCTGTACCCTCTGCCACCTCCCCTGGCTTCGTGGTTCTTCATAAGTGCGCCTCCTGGCTGCAGGTGACCCTGAACTGCCTGGACCGTCTCATCTTCACTGTTGCTGTTAACTCGCTGGTGACCCATCTTGCCATGTATGTTTGGCTTGCGTAGCTCAGTCTATTTTAAGTGCTGGGTTAGACAAATAGTCATCCCCTCCCAGTCCTCCAGCTAGCACAAGACTTAGCATCTGTTCCATCTCAGGCTGCCATGACAAAGCACCACAGGCCAGGCAACTTCAACAACAGACATTTATTGTCCCACATCCTGGAGGCTGCAAATGTGTGACCCAGGTGTTGCAAGGCTGGGCCCTCCTGAGGCCTCTCTCTTGGGCTTATAGATGTGTCTGTGTCCTGATCTCCTCTTCTTCAAATCAGATTTGTTCAGGACCCACCCTAATTACCTCATTTTAAGTTAATTACTTCTTAAAAAACTATTTCCAAATCCATTCAACATCTGAGATACTGGGAGTGAAGGCTCCAATATATGAATTTGAAGGGGTCACAGTCGAGCCCATGGCAGCTGCTGACCACCTTCTCTGTCTGTCATGGCCAAGTGTGTGACTTAGGATACCAGCCCTGAAAATGGTGGGCACTGGGAGAATTGTGGAAGCGTTTTGCCACCGAAGGGAAATGGAACATCAGAGTAACCAAGGGCCCCATCAAAGCCAGGTGGGGTCTCTTTGATGGCATTTAGCATATGTGTGGCTGAGTCAAGATTCTTCCTTCTTCCTGTCCCAGTAATTAATGAGGGACTTCCAAGGCTCGGGGGGCCTGCCTGCTCAGATCAATTATTCAGAGTGACACCTCCGAAGGTCTCAGAAGAGGAAATAGGGAGAGAGCAGATTGCTAAGTGGCTCTGATGGGAACTAAACTAATGACTTGTAGCCCACTCTGCAGATCATGTCTGATCTCCTTGTGCCTATGTGAGCTGCTGTGGATGTAAGATGCACTGTCCATGGGGAGGGGGACAAGGTCCTCCCAGGAACAGCAGCAATTTCTTCCTTGTCAAGATCGGTGCTCGCCACCTGTATATGTGATCCTGAACCTCAGAAAGAGTCAAGCAAGGGTCTCAGGCCTCACCTGGCACTCAGGCTGAGGGGCCACCTCCTGAGTGAGCTGGGGCTGGTGGCATCTTGGCCTTGGGTGCCTGAAAGAGATCAGTGTCCTGGGCGGGGGTTGGTATCACTTTCCTCTCCCTCTTGGGATCAGCTCCTAGCAGCATATGTGAGCAATGATTAGAGCAGGGACGAGTGCTCTGTCTTACTAGCACAGATGGATGACTGTGGGAGCTTCCAGGGGGGCCACGGGGCCAGTCACAGCCCTCTTCTTTACATTTATTTATGCCTGCAGTTTTCTACTAAAAGACAAAAACCTAAAAGTTAGAAAAATAATGCCTACTTCTACTCGTGGCCAAGAAGGAAAATCAGGGGCCAGATTTATCTTTCCATGCGAAATGGCTAAAAGCTCAGGCAGAAGATGTGAAGGGGTGGGCTGCACTAGACTCCAGGCAACAAGTGAGGGTGGGTGATAGCTGAAAGATGGGAAGTAAACAGGGAGAGTATTGCTACACTGAGCATTTCCGGGTACAGCGCAGAGCCCGAAATATAGCCAAGCAGCAGAAAGGAAGCTGAGGGTCTGGGGGCCCAAGGCAGCAACAATGTGCAGGATAAGAGCCAGACTTCAGAGCACATGTCGGGGAAGTACATGGTGGAAGTGGCTGCACGGAGGGGCACTGGGGAGCTGCAAAGCCCCCTGCCCAAGTCAGCTGAGTACCGAAAAGCTCAGGGTAAGAGGAGGCCAGAAGGTTCAGTGTTACTAGAGGACAAGAGGCAGTGTCCCATCCCACCACATGCTCCAGGGCGTGCCTCTTTTCACCCAAATGCTCAGAGTCCATGGAGCCCTCAGAGGGGTCCCGCCTCCACAGTAGAGGGTGATCTGTCCTAGCTTAAAAGGCCTTGGGCCCCACCCAGCAAATCTCTTTTAAAAGAACCTGAAAGGATCAGACTGCTTCCAGGTAACTAACTTCACCCAGAATAAAGCTCAAGAACTTATTTAAGAAGACAAAAGTACCCAGCAGTCAACAGGGCTAAATCAACAATGTCTGGCATCCATTCAGCTACTCAGGCTACTTAGGAGGTTGAGACAGGAGGATCACAAGTTCAAGGCCAGCCAAGGCAGTTTAGTGAGATGCTATCTCTAAATAAAATGTCTATGAAAGGGGCTGGAGATGAAGATCAGTTGTAGGATTCATGTCCAGTACATGATACCTTGGGTCCCATGCCTAGCAGCAAAAAGAAGGAAAGAAAGGAAAGGAGTCCCCAGACACTCCAAGAAGTAGGAAAGCATGACCCATATAGGGCTGAAAATCAGTTTATCAGATTTGACCAGGAATCAACACACATGTTAGAGTGAAGACAAAGATGTTAAAAGGACCCTCGTAATTGTATTTCATATGTTCAAAAAGTTAAGCAGAGACTTGGAAGGTATTTTTTTAAACAGTGTGTGTATGTGTGTGTATATATATATATATACATATATATATACATATACATATATATATACACGTATATTTGTGTATATATGTGTATACGTGTATATATATGTGTATACGTACATATGTGTATATATGTACATATATATACATATATATGTTTTAAGATGATGAAGGTGGTAAATTTTATATATTGTGCATTTTACCATGTTGTGTATTTTACCATATATATATACTGTGTATATATTGTGTATTTTACCATAATTAAAAGTTCAAAAAATCCACCCAAATCAGAATTTCAGAGATGAAAACTATAATGTCGGAACTGAAGAATAACCAGAGTGGGATTAATGAGAGATCAGACATTACAGGAGAAAAACATAGTGTACTTGGAGAAGTAGCAGGTGAAACAAACCCACATGAAACAGAGAAAAAGAATAGTTTGGTTTTTTGTTTGTTTGTTTTGTTTTCATGGAGCAACAGTGAGCTGCAGGCTGGTTTCAAACAGCCCAATAGATGCAAAGAGTCCCAGGGGTGGAGGGGGCTGTGGTGGGGTGGACAGAAGAAAATACTTGAAGAGATAATTATGAAAATTTTCCCAAATTTGAAATAAACTGGGAACTCACGGATCCCAGGTGTAAGACATATTAGAGAGAAGAAAATGAAAAACCCACCAGGGCACATGGCTGTCAAATTGCTCAAAACCAGTGATGAAGACAAAAACTCCTAAAAGCAACCAGAGGGAAAAGGGTGCTTTGCACACAGAGAGGAAAGATAAGGCTGACAGCAAATATATTGTCAGAAAGGTGCCTGTGAGAAGAGAGTGGAGAAATAGCTCTTTTAAGTATTGAAAGGGAAGGGAAAGCATCTTTTTCAAAAACAAAGGTAAAATAGAGTTTTTCAAAATACAAAAGGTTTAATTCATCACAGCATCCCAGACTATAGGAAGGACACCTTTCAGGTAACAAGAAAATGGTCAGATGGAAATACACCAGGGAAAGAAGGGCTTAACTGCATGGATAAATGGGTAGTATCTTTTCTTCAAAAAGACAGCTGGCTTTTAAGCCAGGAGGCACTCTTGGAGGCTGAGACAGAAGCATCACAGGTTTGAGCCCAGCCTCAGTGACTTAACAACTTAGAGAGACCCTGTCTCAAAATAAAAAAAAGCGCTGGGGATGGTGCTCAGAGCAAAGGCCCTGGGTTCAATCCCCAGGACTGAGCAGAGGTGGGGGGAAGATAACTGGCTTTTAGCAGAAAAAAAAC